GGACTTCTCAGGAGCTCCAGTCTCTTCATTTTTGGTGGGAGACACAACATTGGAGCGAAGTTCCCGTAGTGGCTGCACAAGAACTGGAACTGGCTCTTTAGGGGGCTTCTGGCATACTTCGGCATAACTTAACTTTCGAGGTTCCTTTTGAAGGGATAAGGGGAAAAAAAAACTTACAATACACATTCTTTAATAAAGCACAAAAAAGGATATTTTAACCACAGAAAAACATAAGTTACTTTCTAGGTAAGGGCAACAGATATTCTTATATACACTAATGCTGTTAAAGTGATTAGTATTATAAACTTAAAAAAAAAAAAAAGTGTTGAAAAAAAGTCAGGGCTGGGGATATATCTCAGTTGGTAGAGTGCTTGCCTCACATGCACAAGGCCTTGGGTTCAATTCCCAGCACCACAAAAAGAAAAAAAAGAAGTCTTAGAAATTGATCCATGATATAATTATTTTACTTAAGAAATATATATGCAATGAAATAAAATGGATCCAACCCCTCCTCTTGGTATAAAGAACCCTGAGAAGGAACATGTATGGCAGAAATCATACTTTTCTAACATTACTACTATCATCATTAAGATAAAATGTTCTAATCTATAAAAAATAAAGAGCTGTGCTAAAATGCTACTAGTTGTATCAGTGAAAATATTACARGTAAATTTTGTGTCCCCCACCCTATATTTTCCCAATCATAAAATTATGAAATTGAGGGGGCTTGGGCTGTGGCTCAGCAGTAGCCCATTTGCCTGGCATGTATGAGGCACTGGGTTCAATTCTCAGCACTGCATATAAATAAAGATGTATAAATAAATAAAGATGTATCAACAACTAAAATAATAATACAAAAAATTATGAAATTGATTCTGGTACTGAAATACAAATAGGAATAGTCCCTAATGGCTTTCAAAGACTTATTAGTGCCACATAAACAACAAGATGAATTTTAACAGGGTCAAATCTCTTTATGATAGCCCAAAACTGGCAAATTCACCAAAACCTGGATGAGATGTTTTTCTGCTATGAGCAGAAGGAAAAGAACGAACAAWCCCAAAGAAACTGAATAGTAAATTCTTCACTCTTAAACATGACTAAAACTTTCCATTTCTTCATAGTGACATTTAACTCCTTTAGTTTCTTTCAGATGTAGCCAGTCTTACTTTGAGCTACTTCCAAATGACTCTTGCTCTAACAAAGTACCATGTGAAAAAAAGTTGTTTTTAAAAATATATAATCTATTAAATTTTTTTCTAACAAAAACTAAACTCTTCCAAGTTACCTGTATGGTCACAGCTCCGGATGCATTTGTGTTACTATTACTTGGTGAAGCAGTATTTGCCCGTGGTGTCTTTGCAGTGCTTGGGGAAGAAACTGGTATAGTCATCTGATTGAGAACATCCTTCTGAACAGTGGATTCCTCTATTGGATCCTTTTCTTTCTGAGTTGTGCT